GGCATGGGTATCTACTTTCGACCCGTTCTGCCCCGCCCCGCCCCGTTCTAGACTCATTTTATCTCAATTTCTTACAATATCCATACATATTTCTCCTATTTTGACTTTTCTTCAACTAGTTAGAGTCGATCTTTCAACTTTTTAGGCTCAATTATCCATTCTATTATCAATATTTTTCATTCTTAAAGTGTTTTTCCCAACGTTTTATTGTAAAAAGTAAAATTTACTTGTATTTTTTTTTGAACAACATGTAAGAGTGGGTCGACCCGCCCCGTCCCTTACCCCGCCAGGGTTTTACCCACCCCGACCCGTAGTAGCGTGGGACGGGGCATGGGAATTGAGGTACCCGCCCCGCCCCATTGCCATCACTAATACCATGGAGTGAAATATGACTAAGTATGGATGATGGTGCTCCCATGGTATGGTAGGGAGGGTAATTGAAAATCACTTTTATATTATAATTCTTTTATAATCATTTTACATAACTTATTATATTGAAAAGCACTTTTTATAGTTTTTCAACCAAACAATCAACTGATTTTTTTGAAAAATGCTTCGGTAAAAATTACCGCTTTCAGAAACTACATCAGGCTAAACTAGCCCTAAAACCTTGACTCTAAACTAGGGATGGCAAAAATATCCGTAACCGTGGTCCGTGGATATCCGCCCGAATTCGGCCTAATCGGGTAGGGTAAAACCCGAACCTGAATGACATTTAGTGGGTACGTGTAAAACCGAACCCGAATATTACGGGTAATGAGTGGGCATGGGTTTCTCACTATCCAACCCGAACCCGCCCGATTGTACACATGCATATGTATTTTGTCTAAAAATAATCAATATTTTTCTCTAACATATTTTATATTTAGCATATAAATATAATATTTTCATGAAATTGTGTAGTTTTAATTAATTTTCTTCATCCTAGTGAATTATTGTCGTACTTTTCCTCTTACATAATGTGAGAATACGTATGAATGTTAACATATTAGTTGAAGTTATGAAGAGAAATTATTATCCATGGATAACCGTGGATACCCGAAACCCGAACAGGTATGAGCATGGTTTTGATTTTCTACCCATTTCACATGTGGCTATGGGTATGGGTAAAACCCGAACTACTATGGGTAGGGTAACAGATATGCAATCCGCGCCCGACCCGACCCATTGCCATCCCTACCCTAAACAAATACCCAAAACCTTACTAAACTAAAAAGCTAACATATGGAAAAACCCGATAACAGATATTCAAGATATTTTAACAAATATATATTAAAAAATAAATAAGGAATGATTATCTATATATATATATATATATATATATATATATATATATATATATATATATATATATATATATTTCCTGCTATAAATATTGTCTATTTTCTCGAGAAAATGGCTAAATTAGAATCTATATTACCTTTTTTATTTTATGCTAAAAAAGCGTCACTATACATTAGAGAATTACTAAAGGCATTGTTTTTTCATCAATGCGGGGAAGAATGTTTTTAGAGAGTTTTGGTAGGAAATCACTAGATACAGACCTATAATCTTTTTTCGAGTGGTTATGGGCCAAATACATTATTTCACTTAAATTAATAGATAAAAAATAAATACTCCCCATAATTGTTGGTCATACAAAGAATAAAAATTTCAAAAACATTGAATATATTATGCCATTATAATTTACTTACCTAAATACTTAACTCAAGAGATTTATATTTAAGAGGTATGCTTTACACTTTTTTATTTGACTTGTAGTTTCTTCTTCATCCAGCCCCATATCGGAAAATGATGAGGTGTAAGAGTTCGATTGTAATCCTGTCAATATCATATCTATTTCTTGCGTTAGGCGTAAATGGTTCGGCGAAAAAGAGTTCGTTGCTTGATCCTAATAGCATATTGAAAACTATTGAGGTTAGCATTTTTATTTTATTTTAGTAACAACATATCTTAGGACCTCCAAAATACATCTAAAACACCCTTCAATCAAACTCGAATATGTCAGCTCACGTATAATTTATGTTATGGCAGAGTGTAGACGGCGAAGTCATTGATTGTGTGGATATCTACAAACAACCGGCTTTTAGCCATCCACGGCTGGCGAATCACACTCTTCAAGTAAGTTATGAGTTGGAATACGCATATATATATATATATTTGATCAATCAAGGTGGAGAAATTGAAAAGTTATTTTTTAGATGCGACCCAGTTCATATCCAATTGGACTCAAACCAAAGAGCATATTTGCTTCTGGCGGTAACTCTTCAGAGGAGGTGAAGTTCCAAAAGTGGCACAAGAATGGAGAATATTGCCCCGAGGGAAGCATCCCAATTGTGACATCTTTGGCGGGTGATTTCCCCGAAAAGAAGACACATCCTTTCTCATTTTCGACCAACACAGTAACGCCAGCCGGATCTAAAGCCGAGGTACGTACGTGCCTGCCTGCAGGGCCGGCCAAGAGGGTGTGCTGGTCCGCCCTCCAGCATAGGGTCTCAGAATATTAGGGGCCTCTATTTAGATTCGTTAGTTACCGATCGTACATTGTAGGTTGTATTTTTAGTGTATGATTGATTATGAGTATGATGATGTGTTTAATAGATAATTTTAGCTATAATAACAATTGAAGAGGATCTCATCGAGAATACGAAAATCTGAAAAATAATAGATAATTTTAATTTAAACAATATAGAAATATATTACATTTTGAATAATGTTATTATAATCATTTTAGTTTTATTATAGTTAGAGGTCGATTTGGAGCATGTCTAGATTTTGAAATAGGGCCTCCACGATCTAGTAGACAACCCTGCACCCACCTCTCGATCAATTTAGACAATTTTCATTTCTCCATTCAATTTTTGCGCTATATCCATCTTCTCTTCTTTCCGGATTTACTTTCCTCCCTACTAGGGCTGGGAATTTGGTTTTGGTTTCTTGGTCAAACTGGAAACGAGATCGTTTATTCCTGATGTAATCTTTTTCTGAACATAAGTATTTTTTTATAATTATTTACTAATTTTTAATTTTAATAAATTTATGGAAAAAAATTAGGGCCACATTTTAAATTTTCGAACAAGGCCTCCAAAAATCATGGGACGGCCCTGCATGCGTGCCTGCTGTCATTCCACGTAAGCAAGCCTACCAGAAAAGCATTAGTTATGTGTATAGTTACTACAACTTGTTCGTTGATTAATTATATTGGGTGGGGTGGATACGATGATTGAGATTAGTGTTATTTTTTAATGTTCTACTGTAATTAATAATTACCCTCCATATTAATTTTCAAGGAGAACTGGTTAGGAGACCGACTATGCTTTCCACAAACTAGCTAGCTAGGACATGGTAGAAAAGACTTCAAACGCTGTGAACTGTATATCAAGACGTACACAGTGGAACATTCATGACCTGATTTTATAGAACATATATGCTTCCGAACCCAACCAATAATAGTTTGAGTTGTAGGAAAAGCCTCTTCTTCTGATTATACATACATAGGATCAAATTGATGAATAATTTGATCGGATAATTGCAGTATGCGGCAGCGTTTTTTCCTGGATCGGGCTTCCATGGAGCAATGGGTGATATTAATATATGGAACCCAAACACGAAAGAAAAAGAGCAAAGTGCAGCTCAATTATGGGTTACAGATGGCGAAGGCGAAAATATCGATACCATTGAGGCTGGGTGGACGGTTTGTAATTAATTATATTTATAATTCCCCTCCTTTCCTTTCAGCATATATATATATAGCAGTTGGGTTGGGTTTACAATGAATTAATGACACACACTGTTTTTCTTCGAATGTGCAGGTCTCGACATATACCAATCATCCAACCCTCTTCGTATACTGGACCGTAAGTCAAGTGTAGATTCTGAATGAATGTTGGGTTGTAGGAAATTAATCATGTCTTGTGATATTTATTTATTTATTTCTACGTACCCACAGCTAAGTAAATACGATTCATATATCTCAAAGAAAAGAAGTGAAGTAATTAATTTTGCACAACATGCATGCAGGCGGATGACTATAAGACTACAGGATGTTACAATATGGGTTGTCCTGGCTTCGTTCAAACTAACCACAAGATTGCACTTGGGGCCTTCCTAGACCCTGCTTCTACTTATGGTGGCCAGCAACTGTTCGTCAGCATACTAATCTACAGGGTAACGACCGACCGACCGACGAGCGCGACGTATTTTAGCTAGCTAGCTAGCTAGGGTAGAAATTAATTGAGGTTTTGTTTTTGTTTTGGCATGCAGGATGATCAGAATGGAAACTGGTGGTTTAACATTCAAGGCCAAGACGTGGGATACTGGCCGCCAGACATCTTCAATGGCGGCCTAAAGGGAACCGCCAGCTTGCTTGAGTGGGGAGGCGAGATTGTTAATTCAAACCCAGGAGGGATTCATACAGCTACTGGAATGGGCAGCGGCCACTTTCCAAGCGAAGGATATGGGAAAGCAGCTTGGTTTAAGAACTTGAAATATATATCTGATGGTGGCCGGGAGGTCAGAGACGCTAAGGGAATAACACCCTACGCAACCAAGCCTAATTGTTACGACATAGAGGTCAAGGATTGGGATACTGATATGGAGGTCCATTTTTACTTTGGGGGTCCTGGCTACTCTTCTACTTGCCAGAATTAATGATAGAGCTAGCCTAGCTAGGATTGTTTTCCAATAATAAATAAATGTTTTCTTTTATTTATTTCCCGATAATACTGCTACTCGGCCTGCAATTATTTCTCAATCTGCCTGCATAGGAAAACTAAACAAACTTCTTTTTGTTAACTTGGCGCTAGGTGCGGAACCTCGTTCATTAATATGCTCGCCAGCCCATGGAATCAAATTATAGAGATGCCGCCTCTACTTTTCTTTTCTTTTCTTTTCTTTTCCATTTCCACCTCCCTTCCCCGCTGGAAACACTTTATCCATTCCGTTCCGTTCCGTTCCGTTCCGTTTCCTGTTATAAATAAACCCTCACCATTGCCCTAACTCTTCACATCCAAACAAATTAGACAAAACAATGGTAGCTTATTACACCTTCCTTCTCGCCCCTCTCATCCTCGTCCTCCTCGCCTCCACCGGCGCAGCGTCCACGCCAGCTTTCAACACACTGTCCGCCCGCAGCCATGCCGTCCTCACGTCGTCCTGTCGCAACGCAAGGCACCCGGACCTCTGCTACTCGTCCGTAGCCGCCGCCCCGGCCGCCGCCCAAATGGCCACCCAGAAGGACGTCATCAAGGCTTCCCTCAACGTCACCTGCACATCCGTCCAGCGCAACATGATCGCCATCAGGAACCTGATCGCCATCAGGAAAGACCTCACCCCACGGGCCAGGTCAGCACTGCAGGACTGCCTCGTCACCATGGACGAATCCCTCGACGAGCTCCACGTGGCACTCGCCGACCTGGACGATTATCCGAAGAAGAAGAAGAAATCCCTGTACAAGCACGCCGACGACCTGAAAACCCTACTGAGCGCCGCCATGACCAACCAGGAAACCTGCCTCGACGGCTTCTCCCACGACGACCACGAGAAGGAGGTCCGCAAGTCCCTCGAAACAGGTCCCGTTCGGGTGGAGAAGATGTGCGGCAACGCCCTCGGGATGGTGGTCAACATGACGGCCACGGACATTAATGCGGCAAACGGCGTCAGCAGGGAGGAGGAGGAAAGCAAGAGCGCTAGTAGTAACGGGGCGTGGCCGGATTGGATCAAGGCCGGGGACAGGAGGCTGCTTCAGGCGTCGACGGTCGCGGCCGACGTGGTGGTGGCGTCGGACGGCAGCGGGAAGTATAAGACGGTGTCGGAGGCGGTGGCGGCGGCGCCGAAGAAGAGCAGCAAGAGGTACGTGATCAGGATAAAGGCCGGGGTGTATAAGGAGAACGTGGATGTTCCCAAAGACAAGACGAATATCATGTTCGTGGGAGATGGGAGGACGACCACCGTTATTACTGGGAGCAAGAATGTCGCTGACGGCTCAACCACCTTTAACTCTGCTACCGTTGGTAACTCTATTTATCGAATATTTTGTTTTTCTTCACCATATCATTACTTACGCTTTTTATATATCTGCTTGTGATTATTATAGTATTAATTATTATTAATTTGGAGTTATATATACTCGCCATGTTCAACCTGGTCCTTGGTTAACGAATTAAATATATACGTGTTTGACATATGTTACAGATAAATAAGATCTTAAATATATCAAATTAACAGTAAGAAACCTGGGCAATCGGTCTTAGTTCTATCAGTTTGGGTCAATAACAAAATGCTATAAAACGTTTAAAACAAAAAGCTATATAACAAAACATCGCATGTCCTTCAATCAATATTTTCATTCAAAATGATCAGTTAACTTGATCACGGGATAATAGGCAGTTTTATGAGTTGGTAAGGTGTCTTGATTTTTTATATTAATTTTGCACGGTGTCAACAAGTTAATTGGTTATTTTAGACGAAAATATTGTTAAAACAAGACAAAATGATCATTTTGTTATAGCATAATAATACATAATATATATATATATATATACTTTTTGTGATTTTTCACACGTTTGTGATCATATTTTTACGGGTCCAAATCTATGTAACCATTTGATGTATTACTCGCGAGAACCTGACAGCTCTTGCCTTTGTATGTATATTAAATTATTAATTAATAAGGTTTTATACTTTAGGCAGCTGGTGCTTAATGTCACGATAGGTATTGTTCAGAAAGGCTGCATTACATAATCGCTGTTGATTAGTCAGATACCAGACCGGCAAATTAAATCCCACCTACTATATATCACAACCTAGTAGGAATTTTTTTTTTCTTTCAATAATGGTGTGCCCGTGCCTACTTCTTAGCTGGTCCAGGGATTGTCATCTCTATCCATCATCCCAAATTATTATTATTATTATTATTATTATTATTGGGTAAATGCCACATTTGATCACTAATATTACTAAATCGTGTTATGGTTAGTCACTAAAAAAATTTAATATCAATATTGGCCACTCGAATTACTGAAACATGTCACATTTAGTCACTCTTCCGTTAGCCTCCGTCCAACTCCAGTCACTCGAATTAGTAAAACATGTCACATTTAGTCACTCGAATTACGAAAACATGTCACATTTAGTGACCAAACATGTCACATTAAATGAAGTTGGACGGAAACTAATGGGAGAGTGTCTAAATGTGACATGTTCTTGTAATTCGAGTGACCAAAATTGATATTAAATTTTTCTAGTGACTAAACATGACACGATTTAGTAACCTCGATGACTAAATGTGGCATTTAACCTTGTATATTATTATTATTATTAATTTCCGTATGGTGTATATGGATCATGCGGTGGCAGTGGCACATGCATGGGATAGTTGCATGGCAAATTGGCAATTTTAGGAAACAATGGTCCATTGCCCCATTTATCTATGTGGTCCTCTTTTCCACATCGCCCACAGCAAAATGCATATGATTATTCTTCCTTCTTTTGCCATCTTTTCCTTTTCGTTTGTTAATATTCTCTCTTCAACTTGCGTAGGTAGTTACTCCGATCCTCAGCTTTTAGGTGCAAATTGACGTTAAGTTTAATATAAAGTTCAAACCATGTATAGTCACCAAAACCATCGGTTTTGTTAGGGTAGGTATGAGACATTATTATTTTATGAAGAAATAGTACCATGCACCTTTGGATTGCCGCCTTTTGCTTTACCACCTAATCACGCTATAATTTGTCTACTTTGAGAGACAAGTATCCCATATCCAATCTTACCATTGCAATAGAATATTACTCTCTGTCTTTAAGGGTTGCTTTAACCCTCTTGTAATTCTCCACTAACTCAAGATGATTCCCTTAATCAAGGCGCCATTACGCTACACAAATGAAAATAAATAAAAGACTAGATTTGAGGGACTCTTTACTTTTCCTTTTCATTAAATATGGGACAATATATTATATACTATACTGCCACTATATATCTATCTCGGAGAGATTTAATTATTATTATTGTCCTACTCCTACATATTAAGATCTCAAAATATATATATACCAATTAAGTGTTGTATTAATTGATAAGCATGCATGCATATGTATAAAATAAGATGTAACTCGTCGACTATATATATTTATTCGAAAGTGATAAGAATTTTATGTTGTGGGTATTGGACAGTGGCGGTGGGACAGGGTTTTCTAGCGAGAGACATAACATTTCAGAACACGGCGGGGCCCTCAAAGCATCAAGCTGTGGCGCTCCGAGTTGGTGCTGATCTGGCAGCATTCTACCGCTGCGACTTCCTAGCCTATCAGGACACCCTGTATGTCCACTCCAACCGCCAGTTCTTCCATAGCTGCCTCGTTGTCGGCACCGTCGACTTCATATTCGGCAACTCCGCAGCCGTCTTCCAGAACTGCGACATACACGCCCGCCGACCAAACTCGGGCCAGAAAAACATGCTCACCGCCCACGGTCGAACCGACCCAAACCAAAACACCGGGATCGTGATCCAGAAGTGTCGGATCGGTGCCACGTCGGATCTCCAGGCCGTCAAGGGAAGTTTTGGCACTTACTTGGGGAGGCCGTGGAAGCAGTACGCTAGGACGGTGATCATGCAGTCAACCATAAGCGACGTCGTACACCCAACAGGATGGCACGAGTGGGATGGCAATTTTGCATTGGACACATTGTTTTACGGAGAGCATAAGAACACTGGAGCTGGAGCAGCTACGAATAGTAGGGTGAAGTGGAAGGGACATAAGGTAATCACCAGTGACACCGAGGCCGCAGCGTTTACGGCGGGTCGATTCATTGCCGGTGGGTCTTGGTTGGCATCCACTACTTTCCCATTTAGTCTCGGATTGTGATTTGATTATTGTTATTATTATCATCAATAAATAGTAGTCCGAGAGAAACAATTATTAAAAAGGCAAGGAAATAAAATAAGAGTGAGTGTCTATTTACTTTTGATCTTTCAGAGGTTACGTTGGTTCTCATGGATCAATTGGCGGCAGGTTGTTTAATTTTCAATACTAGTTGTTTGTAATTGTATGCTTGGGTCCAACTAATTTGGGTGTTAATGGCGATTCCTTAGGAACATAATTAATGTGTAATATTAGTTGTTTGCTGTGTGTTACGTTACGTTGTTCTCATGTATCAATTGGCGGCAGGTTGTTTATAGTGTAATATTAGCTGTCTCTGTGCTTGGCTCCAACTAATTTGAGTGTTAGTGGCAAGATCAGATGCCCTAACGGTGGCCCGTACGATTGTTACCCAAATAAGCTCGAAGCACTCTTATGAATCACCAAGGATTGCTTGGGCCAGGTTTAGCAGCAAAATGCCCTGCGGTGGCCCAAACCGTCGCCATGAGTACTGTCACTGCTCTAGGTGGTTTCGAAACGTGAAAATCAAGTCAAGCAAAGGACCTAAAACAACTTGGAATAGGATCTAAACTTTCGAGCCTAGAAGTTCGGAAAAACTTATAATAAAAGCTATAAAAGGGTCTGGGGTCAATTGTTCAAGGCAATTGATTAGTTAATATTCCTTGTATCACATCTATAACTTTGTCATTTGTGTCCATCATGCGATATGCATTGGTCACTTATTTCATTCACAATAAGCCTAAGGTCATCATAGATATTGAATAATGTCTAGCAGCAAAAAAATGCACTCAAGTCAACGAGGAGGGGAAGGAACTTGACAATCCTCACTTTCGAACATATTATAAGTACGAATCCCCGGCTAGAGATTATCAGGATTAGATCTAAGTCGTGGACATCTCATTCGCGACTATATTATGTCACAAAAAGTAAATTCTAGCTATGTCTAGGGTCATATTTTGTAGGTCCTCTAACAACGTCTTTACTTTAGACTGACTAATTATATTTTGATTGACCAAGTGAGGTTGGGGTGTCCCTAGTTTTGAAACTAACACACACAAATCCAAATTGCAAGAAGTAAAGGTAATTAGGACTAAACGTTGTAAACTAAAGGTAGAAAGTAAAGAGTATAGAACAGAGGCATGAAGTAAAAGAGCAGGAACTAAAGATGTTTATAAAGCAGGAATTAAAGGCATTGTTTAGTATAGTTTCTCTTAGGTGACTTAGTATCTAATCATTCCATTAACATATATCTATACTCATGATTTAATTTTCTTTCTCTTGTTTAGTCTATCTCAATCCTCTTTAAACTTATTCCTATCCGCGCACTTGCAACATGCAATAGAAATGTTGAATCAGTCTGAGTGGGCTCTTGTATCATGCCTTAATTAGATCAATTATGAATGCATCGATTGATTCGGGTGTAATTGAACATATTTGTACCCTTTTATATATTTTGAGATCTTTGTGGCATTTGCATTGTCTGAGGAAAAATTTTACGTTAGGTTTGTGTGTGTTTAGCATGTTTCAAATCTCACGCGGTGCAATCAACTTCGGGATCGAAAGTCAAACGAAAGATGGCGAAAGCGAAGCAAGGATGGACAAAAGACGAAGATCACGCTCAGGGGAGCATTATCATGGACATCGGACTATGAAGATGGAGCTCTAGCCGTGATGTTGGACAACTTCCAGGAGACTTTGGATTGCTCGTGGGCAAGTTAGAGATCATGGTCACGTCGTGATAATCTTCAGCAACCCGTGATGTGGTTAAATGAAATTATGGGATTTTCACTGAGATCACAGGCAAGCCTTGGACATCACGGGCGTGATCGCAGACCGTGAAAAGTGCCCAATTGTAGTGTATAAAGAAGAGAGAGCTGAAACCAAAGAAGAGAGCTCTAGAGAGAGATTTGGGTCTTCTTCAAATATAGAGAGAAAGTGACGAGATAAGAGGAGGAAGAAGAAGTTTTTGGCTCACCCAAGGCTATAGGGTTGAAGATTTCTTCTTCAAAAGGTCAACCAAGCAATTAGAATGACGAGAATCATCTCCCAATAGGTTTTTCTTCCATCTTTGTTGTATTTTCCCTTCCTATCAATGAAGTAGTCTTCCATTTCACTTGGGTATTGGAAACCGTAGCCAAGGGTGTGTTAGATTGTAAGAGTTGAATTATTTTTGTGTTGGGTTTCTGATTAATATAATGTTTGAAGTATTTTTCATCATTATTGGGTGTTGTTTATCATATCTCAATGTTGGGTCAATTTGACCTAGAAGGAGGAAATCCCCTCATAGCCCACACCTTGACAATTTGAGTAATCCCTTCTAGGGCAATTAAGGACAAACCTCGAACATCGAATGAGTGCCATGATTTAATCATGATCGGTTTCTTTTCTCCGTTCTAGATTAAACTCCGAGGGATTCATTTCTACAATCCTTAGTCGATTGATTAATAGGCTAGACTTCCTAGATTATTGACTCGCCACGGATACACTCCCCACAGATACAATCCCAAGTTTTTAAGCTCTAGCCGGGTGCATCATAGGGAAAGTATGTTTTTAATTGTCAAACCTGGACTGGTCCATGTACCCATACTTCAATCGCTTAGGTTGTTTTCTAGCATACTTTTCTGGGTTTAAAACTAAGAAAACTACAAATGAAAACAAGCAAGTGAAGTAAATCGAGGGGAATTCCATATTAGAGGAACTCACCCGGGTATTGTTCCCCCTAGTCTCGTGCTAAGAATCAACGAACAAAACTCTAGTGTGAAGGGTATGTTTATATACTGCTAGGTGGGTGCAACAAGCTAGGAACGAGCCCTCCTAGTCGATCAATCAAGGATTGCTAGAATAACCCTAGCGAACCTAGCTCTCTTAATCAAACAATAAGCTAAGAGGCCTAGCTCTGTTAATCAAACAAACCGAGGAAACCCTAAGTCTTTTAGTTGACCAATTAAGGATTGTTGCATTAAGTTAGTAGACTAACTCTCTTAACCTTTCGGCTAAGGATGACAACAATAGTTTAGACGATCTAGCCCTCTTAACTAATCAACTAAGGGTTGCAAGACCTAACCCTCAGAAGATAATCCGGACGGCGGAGAGCGACAAACCATGATGGGATTATGGTACTACTCGGATACTTGAGGTTTTGGGCCTAGATTAACCCAAAAGGGGTTACCCAAGTCACTAGAAGATCAAGCTCCCTATGGGCCAAAGGGGGATTTCCACCCTTCTAGGTTAATTTGACCAAAAAATGAGATAAAGCAAGCAAAACCCATTCATTCATGATTAATACCTCAAATATTATAAATACAACCAACATAATAGAATCAAGTTCTTAGATGCTACACATCTAGACTAGGATTCACACTACCAAGTGAGTAGGAAGGCTAATCCATAGCTAGGCAAACGAAAACAACAAAAAGGAGAGAAAGAACCGTAGATAGATGAAAATATTCCTTCCTTCTTGCTTGAATCTCCCTTGAGGAGAAGAGATCTCTGATCTTCTAGCTTCAATTGAGCACAATCTCCTTCTTCCTCCTTTGAATGATACTATCTCTCTCTAGAATGGGAAGAAGAAACCCTAATCTCTCACTAGAAACCCTTTTTAGTCTGAAAACTAAAACCCTAGAAAAAGCTCTCTTTCTTCCTCCTTTCAGCTCTCTATTTATATCCAGTCGCACCCAGTTCACTACCGTGAACATCAGGTCGGGACCGTGAACACAGCCCAAAATGCGCCGCTTAATTTGTTGAGTTCACGGTCCACGACTTCAGTTCACGGTCTTACAACTGTGAACTACGACTAGTTCCTGGACGCCTGCGCTTCATGGTCACGGGGCAATTGTCATGGTCTGCGCTTTTCGACCTCCAATCTTCCCGAAACTCGTGCTCGAACCTTCCACAAGTGCTAGGACCTAAAATGTATCAAAGCAAGCACAACCTAGCGTGAAATATGTAGAGGGATGATGAAATGCAAAGCCAAACTATCAAGAAATGAGGGGTAAAATGTGTACAATTGGACCCGAATCACTTATCGTCACATTCCTTAGTTAATCGATTAAGAGAGTTGGGTATCCTAAATAATTGCATCCTCCTCACATCATATAATCACAATCACACACACTATAGTTCCACTCGTTGATCTTAACAAGAGACTATGGGGAGAAGTATCCAGGTGAAGCCTTCTTAAATAGTATTCACCACAACTTTACTTTGATTGTTTGTTTTCAACTATAGTTTTTTAGGTTTCACCACAAACCGTTTGCTAGATAATATGCAAATGATTGAAGTAGGGGTACATTGACCCTCTTGGGTTGATAATTAAACACTCGTCTTATTCTGCACCTGGTCGTTGGTTATATTTGGCCATAGATTGGGTCAAGTTTTTGGCGCCGTTGTCGGGGAGAGTTTACGGTATATTATTCAGAAAAGTATATATTGTTACTCTAGCGTTTAATTTATTTCATTGTGTAGTGTGAATCTTGCTTGTCTTAGCTTGTGTTGTGTTTTGTGAAGTGTGTGTAGGGGGTGTATAACCGGAAGTGATATACGACACCTTTGGCGCCTCTAGATGAAAATATCAACCAAACTCTTCAAATATTGGCTCGGGTGAGAGAGCTGAGTGAGTCAAAAGAAATATTGGCAAACTAGGGACAACCACTAGTTGCTCCCGAAGGTGCCGAATAAGTTGAATGGACCTTTCTCACAAAAACGCCTTCCCCTCTTTGTCACACCCCAATAGTACCCCTAACACGCAATTTCTTCAAATAACTTGGTCATTTGTGTGTCGGGGGGTGTCCTGTTGAGCATGTTGCCTTGGCACAAGGAATCGATGAGCATACGGTTCTCTTGGAAGAGACCATTGTACAATGTACCAATCTTGAAATTTTCATAGAATCAATGGCGAGAACATTAGAGAAAGAGCTCAATGTACCACTCCCAAGAAGCTCTTAATGTTTCATACTCCTCTTGAGAAAAGCGGGTGATTGTTTTCGGAAATCCATTGTCTTTGATGGCAGGAAGTTTATTGCAATGAACCTCGTGACTAAATCATCCTAAGAGATCATGGAGGAGATGGTCTAGG